GTTATTAACATTGATTTTGTGCAAGATTGTCACTGCAAAGTTAAATTTATTTTTTAGCTTCTTTTTTTTTTTTTTTTTTTTAGGTATTAATACAAATCTTATTCCAACAAGCATCAAAGGATTATGAGAAATAACCTTTAAAAAACATCAACTTATGTTACTTCAATAGATTGAGTCCACACAAACAATTTGTAGAGGCAAACAAAAGTATAATATCTTCAGTCTAAGCCTGTTTTTCCCTTTTTTACAAATTTATTTCAATTCCTTGTGAGTTCACCATATTATATAATAAGAATAAAACTAAGTGAATACCTTTTTATTCTTTCTCTATACAGTACCATTTCATATTAAGATTGGTCATCGCAATTTTTCATTTTTTCTTTGTCTGAAGTTATCACATTTTATGGTAGCTAAGTTTCTTTCTTTAGACTAATGACTTTAGTCCAAAAGGAAAATTAACATCTAAGCCTCATACTGCATTGGCTGCTAGATGCAATTACAGTTTCTTTCAGAATTTCTTTAAGTGGCCCATCACAAGTTTTTATATTGGGAAATATGATGGATCATAATTTTTTTAGGCATTCCATAGTAAGGTTATTTAAATCATAGCTAACCGGTAGAAATCAATACCAAAAACAGAGCTGTGCTGGTGCATGGAAAACTGACTTATGCGACAAATGTAGAAGACATAAGTGGGAAGAGATAATTCCAAAGGGCAAGATGTCTGATTTTAGTTTTGAATTTTTTAGCAGAAATACATATTTCTGATTGAAGTGTAGTACTGAAACATGTTGTGTATCTTTCAGTGCAGTTATTTACTCATTCATACCTTCAACTGATCTATAATCATCATTATATTTTTCAGTAGTCTACTAGTGCTCTTTTTAGAAATGTGAATTAGATATAGTGCATAGGTTGGCTTATTGATAAATTCTTTTATTAAATTTAATCTTTAAGTTCAATTAAATTTGATGTTTTTTGTTCAATTAAATTAGATGGTTTAAGTTCATAGTTAATTAGACTGTTTGTAACAGAGGAAGGAAAAATTATCTTACTTAGAGATAAGGTTGATGATCTAAATTGTTTATTCATTTTTTTATTTACTTAAGTTGCCATGTTTTAAGAATAGGGGATTATATATTTCTTATAAAGTTCAGTATACAGAGATACAGACATTATTTGAACATATTAGGCTCTGGTCATTTAATTCACAGTAAGCTGAATTAACAGAAAGGAGAAAAAAGTTGTAGCTACTGGTGGTATAAACAGCTAGAGTCTTAGAGAACCTTGCCTCTGCTAAGCACTGTGCTAAGCTAAGGTATTACAACATTGCCATTTCCTGTAGACCTGTGTGTTTGTTAGTGTTAACACAATTATGAGTTTTAGAGATGCAATTTTGGAAGTGAATAATTTGATGCAGGATAACCTTTATTTTATTTTATTTTCTCTTGGATAAAGTGAACTTTAATGGTTTGTTGACCTGCAAATTTGTGGAAATAGCCATAAGGGCTAGCCTGTCATAAGGGCAGGCTATTCCCACAGATTTGCAGGTATAAGTTTTTTTGTTTTTTTTATGAATTTGATGCTTTGTTTTGAATTAGGTTGTTTTTCACAATTTATCTTCAATTTGGAATGAATGTTAGTATATTTTTTTAAAATTGATTATTGAATGTGCTACATCTAATATGATAAGCAGGAGTAATGTTTGCTAATTTTTGTTTTTAATGTTATGAGTAATGATTTATTTGCAAGAAGTAAATCTTATAATGTTGCATGAACATATATGTTTAATTCATTATGTCAGGTAAGTAAAACTTTGTCTGCTAGTTAGCTGATTTCTTAATATGAAATACCAAGAACATGAAAAGTGGTAATCATAGTTTTTTACGATTTTACAAGCAGATGTGGAGTATTTTACCATCAATAAGAAAATAGAATGTTAATGTTGATATTTATATTGTCCAAAGTCTGATTCTTTTGTTTATTCAGCTTTCTGTATTTTACTTATTCAAGTTTCTGTAGTTTACCTATATATCAAATTCTTTTTTATTAATAGAAATGAGAGATCTTGGCAGTAATTGAAGTAACATGTTGGAAGATCAGAAAATTAAATTTATTCCTTTCTGTTGCTGCAGGTTTAGAGAGCAGTCAATATGGACCCTCTCTTCCTCAATCTGAGCCTGCCACAGCAGGCTGTTGCTGCCACTTCCACACCTCCGGTTGCAAATCAGGTTAATGGCCTTCCACAGGAGTCAAAACTCGCCACATATATTAGTGTAAGTTGTAACTGCTTTGTAGCATTTTGCTATGAGTGTCGCGGAAAATGTCTATATAAATTTGAAATCCATCTGTCTGCATACTTTGGCACTGCCTGCCCTCATACCCCTTTGAACCCTTTGTACCTACATACAGTCATCTCAGTACCTATAGCATTGAATGACCAAAGTCAGGCTGGTGTGCTCACCCTGCATCCTGAGGACTTATCTTTGCTCCGTTGCAAAATTTCACTCAATAAAAAGGGTTGGAAGGATGCCAGATGTGTCCCCTCAGATCATGTCCTCACTTATCCTCTCTCAGTCTTTATCTATGCATTTCTGTCTCCCTCTCTCCCTGCCTTGGTTGACTGTCGTGCCACAGATTACCTGTCCTCCTTTCACTCTTGTAGTTCTAATTCTGTCTCTAGAATACATTTACCTACTTAATCCACATAAATATTTAACAGCCATAGAGACATCATACCCTCTTGTCAAAGTCAGAGCTTAACCAATTGGATCCAGGTACCTAGAGTGGCCCAAAGGCAATAGACTTGCTTGATTGGCACCAGTCCTCGGTGTGTGGCTTGTAGGCCCAGCCCTCATGAACACTCCTGTGCAATGTCAAGACTCATTGCTCACACTGTAATGTTCTTAACCCTATTTTTGCATCAGTGATTTTTTTGTACTTTTTTTCATTTTCCATGGTCTATAGTTAATTTGATATAATTAATAATATAATTTAGTTATATTCCATTAGTTACAATGGTTATTCTTGGTGCAACAGGCTATCTGTTTCATTTTGCTTCTAAGTTACCCTGCGAGTAAGGAATGGCCAAAGTTACCACCCATTGGCAGTGTGTGTGTGGGAATTGAACATGGGTTGGGCAAGATTGCTAAAAGAGACTACTACTACTGCACCACACAGCACACAGCTGTATCAAGATGATGATAAAATGTTTTCCTTACGCAGACTCCATATCATTGCAGGGCATGTACACTGTTCCATCAATTTCTGTTATCAAATCAGATCAAATCATTAGCTCTCTAGGTATTCTATAACTCTATGCAATAACAAAACAGTAAGCACCTTTTTTTATTAGTGTCATTTGTTAAGATTTTCATATTTGATTTTCTGTAACACTATACATTACTGGTCACAGCAGCCAGGAATAGGATCCTGAGCATGAAAATAGTGTCTTCCCTGGAGCTGGCACTCATCCAGCCATGGCTCTGAGGTGGTTCAGTACACCTCCTTTACAGGAAATGATTCAAGGGCTCCTTCCTATAAGAGTAATTTTCCGCCAAGAGCTCTGTGCACACATGGCTAGTAATTCACATCACCCTGGCCTTCAGCAGAACTTTTCATGACTGCGCATTGCCAGATTTTTCCATGATGGCATATTCCTTTCACCCAGCCCTCAGCCATATTTTTACAGATCTAATTTATTAATTTCAGATAAGTTATTTTTCCCGTTTCCCCTTTGAGCATAAACATTTCTTTTCTCTTTATTCCTGTCAGTAGCCTAACACCAACTGTACTGTACTCTCTTTCCTTTAGTGAGTTTGAAGACTTATGGAACTTAACAATAAACTGTATGTAAACAGAATTCACAATAAAGATCCATAAGCCTTTCCAAGGTGTCAGCCAAGGTAGTTTGAAGTAGGTAATACAACTCCGTTGTGATGAAATCCTAGTTAGCAACTTCCGAGTTAAGTCCCACTTCTTTGGCTTTATTTATTGCAAATATAATTTTTTTTTTTTTCTTAGTAGTTTATATTAGTACCATTGTTATTTCTGATCCATTTTCAAAGAAAATGTACTGAAAAAACATATACTATAGAAAATTGCACAGATTGACTAGGTAATGTAAAGGGGTGAAGCTAATGACATTATCATGTTTAGTCAGTGAGAGTGTGCTGTGAGATAATAGATATAGCTGGATACACAATTAGTTGTATAATTTACTTGATATTGTTATAATTACTAGAGGTAAAATAAAAATTCCTTACTATTAATAACTGTTGGAATACTCGGGAAAAAGTCAATTTCATTTTTGAGTTCAGCAGGCTAAATGGGAGTGGAGCTACCTGGTATGTGCATCTTGGTGTTGGCAAGTCAGAATCATGAAGGATGTGTTTGTGTTTGGGTAGATGGGTGTGGATGAGAGTAAAATATGTGAAGTAAGTGTAGGTGTGTGTGTTTGGACTGAGGAAAATAGCAGGTGAAAAAGTGGTGCAGTTTAGTGTTGTCTAGTATTTCAGTCTAGACATCACTCACACACTGAAGACCATCATCACAGTCCAAGTCCAGTTTTAGGTATTCCTCTATTATGAAATATCTTTTCCTCAACATTTTGGCAGTAATAAGGCTATAACAGAAAATTATTCCATTTCAGCAAACAAAATAAAATGAAATTAAAACTGCAGTTTAACACTGCTAGCACATTGTGTTACAATCAAAATAAATGCACAGTTTTAGGAAAAAGTTATTTATGATAGTGGGGCTCATTATATAAACAGACAGCATACTGTATAGTCTTACAATGGCGACAATACATGGAATTTTGTTCAACACATCCAAATGCGTGGGTGGATTATTATTGTTAGATGCACAGCTAAGAAAACTGATTCAAGAAATGGATCTCAATTTTCAGTAGGGTAGTGGCTTATGATGTAAACATAATGTAATGTAAATTGATGAATAGTATGTAATTGCTTAACCCAAAGCAGCTGAGGATGAAATGTACAGTTCCCAACAATGCCAACTGGCACAAACCCCATGGTGCGTAGACTGCATTTTTTTCGGGCAATACATGTATAGTATCCAGGATTCTGTGAATGCTCTTATTTGAAATAAAGCTTGTGATAGTGACAAATAGTGAAAAATAGCAAGAAAGATAAAAATGCTATTGCAGAAAAAGAAAGTAACATTTCAAATAGGAGGCATGGAGTCTTGTCACTACACACAAGTCTTTGTGTGCACCTGGCCTACAATCCGCACACCTCTTTGAGTAGCTGTTCAAGTAACCCCAATGCCTGTATTTTAGGCCATGTGATGGTTTTGAAGTTTCTGGATCCAAAGGGCTGAGCAGTGGTCACACTAGTCGTGTATGGCTGGGGATCCCCAGATAGGCATGCAGAGAGTATGTCAGGTACAGGGCTACGCAACAAAAATGGTTGTGGATTCTATGAGGATCATTGCTGTGTGTGTGTGTGTGTGTGTGTGTGTGTGTGTGTGTGTGTGTGTGTGTGTGTGTGTGTGTGTGTGTGTGTGTGTGTGTGTGTGTGTGTGTACACATACATACATGCGTACACATACATACATGCATACACATACATACATGCGTACACACACATACATGTGTACACACACATACATGTGTACACACACATACATGTGTACACACACATACATGTGTACACACACACACACACACACACACACACACACACACACACACACACACACACACACACACACACACACACACACACACACACACACACACACACACACACACAGATTGATCTTCACCTTACTTGACTGTTGTTGGTTATTTACAGAGCCAGAGCTCCTCACCTTTATTTCTTATCTTCCTGACTCAGAATCGACACCAGCTGCCAGCCACCTCACAGCCACAGCAGCAACAGCAGGAGCATTCCCTCACCAAGAGCATTGCTGCTCTCAGCCTGGATGGGGTTGGAACGAGGAAAATCAGTGTGGTATGACAAAAAGGAGAGTCTTTGTGCTGTATGGTGTTAGGAATCACTGGTTTATGGAGGTTTAGATACATGGATGGCATTGTAATGATTTAGTGGGAGTTCAAACAATTTTAAGGGGACTATTTAGCTTGAATATATATTATGAATAGATGTTATATTTGTTCTACTTTAATGTTATTGTTTTTCCCTCTGTACTTTCTACGCTACCTGTCTCTGCTTTTGCTTTCCTTTCATTGTGCTTTCTAACAAATTGATTTTCTTTGTAATACTATTTGTATATGAAGTGTTTCAGTCTTCATTTCTGTATTTTGATATATTATTGTTTCTTCACTTCCGATGTTAAAAATGTATTTGATGGTGATGGAAAGCTACTTTAGGTTCTCTGAAGTCTGGATATGTGAATTTATGGATTTATTCCTTTCAGCCATCAGTGAGTAGTATAGCAGAGTTTGTGCCTGGGTCAGGTGGAAGTGCTGGCCTGGCCCACTCTGCCTCCACGCCCTCCTTCCATTCGTTCACTGGCCTCGGCTCCCCATCCACGCCATCCTCGCTGAGCTTCACCCCGATGACTGGCACTTCCCCAGCAGCCACGGTGGCATCTCCCCAACGGCCTGTTTCTCCCCAAGGGTCACCCAGCAGGGGACGGCACTCCCCTCTGGTGGGGGGTGGAGACGACACAAGCAATGCTTCCAGTTTGTCCACCTACCAAGAAAATGTAGGGGGCACCACCTACTTCTTCACTGCCCAGGACCAGCAGTCGTTCACAGCTGGGGCAGCACCTTCGCCTGCCCCATTCACAGCTGGTCCACCTCCCCTGGTGTTCCCACCTTATCACATTCTACCGCCCACACCTGCCCACATCCACCACTTGCGTGCGCCCAGCAACACGCCGCACTTCTTTATGGGGGATGAATTGCGGCATGACCTGTTGGAGAGACACGCTCTGGCTCTGGCTCATGTTGACCCAGAGAATTTTCCTGGTGACTGATCATGCCTTTTGTTCATTTTGCTGAAATAAGTTTTCAAATATTGGAAATTTTAGTTTTTGAGATTTAGGATTTTGTATACTGACAAAGATTCTTTAGTGGTTGGAATACATGATTTTTATATATATATATATATATATATATATATATATATATATATATATATATATATATATATATATATATATATATATATATATATATATAATATATATATATATATATATATATATATATATATATATATATATATATATATATATATATATAATGTTATTTAATGTTTATGAAATGGTTAGAATTTTTTTCTACTCACAAATTCATAATTGGAACTACTAGAACTTAGTCAAATCCTCTTACAGATTTACCACAAGAGGTTGACATGTACCATGAGTTGGTACCCCTTGAACCTCAGCCTGCGATAAACAAATCATCTATGTTTGGATATGCTACCTCCGTTTACAAGGTATTGCCAGTTACAAGTTATGTTTAGGAGAATGAATCAAAACAGTAGTGTAGAAAATATTGTGTTGTGTTGAAAAGGTAAGTTTTGTTATGACTGAAAGCAATCCTTTTCTTCAACCAGAAGATGTTCTATTTATTTCATTGGCAACTTTGTAAGAGATTAGATGAAAAGGCAAGAGAGAACCCTTTTTGTTATTCTATTCATTTAGATTGTATAAAAAAATATATATCTTATTTAAAATAATTATTCATTCTACATTGCTTGCCATTGAAAATTAGTTGTGAGAGTAAGAAGTCAGTATTCACAAAAGGTTAAAAAAAATTCTTTGACAAATTTAAGGGCTGTCCTAAAAACAGTCTTTAACTTCAAAATTTTCTATGGCTAAGTCTAAAGGCTGTCCTTGGAGATTTTGTTTATGACTCACACGTTTGTGCCACATTTCAAAATTAGCTCTGAACTAGAACTACAGAAACATTTTAGAAGACCCTATAATAATAATTAAATGTAATGATGAAATATTACATTGAGTCTCAAGTATCTAATGTCCATGATATTATATAACCAATATCTTTTATATGTTTGTGTGCACCCTCTACATTTGTTATTGATTAGCTGAGATGGCACACGGCATCATATGTATTTACATACAAGAAAACTGCAGTAAACAAGGAGGAAATTAACCTTTTACAATAAGTAAAAAAAGTGGCAGGAAAGTTATCAACAACTTTAAAATCGCAGGATTGTTGTAGGTGTCTCATACAGACAATTTGACCCATTCGCAATGGGGAAAATTAATAAAAGATGGGGACAGTGCTGTGCTCATTTTTTATATTTTTTGTGAAATGTCTCTACTCATGGATGGCTTTGCCTTACCTGATTTCACCTTTCCTTGAATTGGCAGGAAAATGTATTTTTTATTTTTTATGGTGTTATTTTTATTATAAACATTATAATTACTATAATGTTATAAATATTAGTAACAGAAAAATAAGATAACTTAAAATATTTTCGTAAATTAAAGAAAAGGGTAATCGGGTGAGACAGGCAGTACTCATAACTGGCTCATTGGGGATTTAGTACAAGTGTAGCCATCTATATGTGAAAACAGTTTAACAAGTAAACTCACAGTGGGCATGTCACGGATACGTGACATCCCATCGTGAATGGGTTAAAGACAGTCCTTATGCATGTGTGGGACCCCTCTAGACTTGTCTTAAGCATTGGCTGAGCCATAAACAAAAAATCTGGTCATAGAGTCAAATACTTTTTTTCTGTCAAACACAAATGTCGGAGTCTGTGACCTTTCCTGAATACTGCTTCAGATGCAGTGTTGAGAGTGATGTGTTACAAGTAACTCACACTGTTATCTTGATATTTCTTTATTGATATTTTTTACTTGGTATGTACTAATGTATCTATTTTTTCCAAACCCTCAGGCGACCAATATCAAGACAGGGCTTCATTACTGCCTTTATCGTATTCATGGCTATCGGCTGAGTAACGTGAAGGTCACCCAGCTGGTGGATCTGTGGAAGAAAATTCAACATTCCAGTGTAACTCAGTTGCGAGAAGTGTTCACCACAAAGGCCTTTAATGATAACTGTAAGTCTCAGATTTCATTCGAAAGTGGTGAATGTTGTCTCTTGAATGTTGATCAGATGATTAGCAAAATTGTGTTTTGGTTTTTGATATATTATTTTCTTCTGTGAAGTGATATAGAATACAAGTTCAGAATATTTAAACTGCAGATGGGAAAGTGTTTTGCTTGTTAGTCTATCATTATTATTTACGTCTTTGATGAATTTAATAAAGAAAACAGGGAATCAGAGAATGTTTAACCTTCAAAAAAATTTGTATTTGTTTCCTTTCTTTGGGGAAATTTTAAATGAAAAACCAGAAGCAAAGAATACCTATGCTGAACTTAAGAAAGCAAGTACATACATATAAAATAATGATTTCAGCTAAAACATTTCTGGAAAGATTGATGCAATTTAACAACCCATTCCCTCTTTCAGCAATTGTGTTTGTCTATGACTATCACGCCGGAGCAGAAACCTTGGCTGCTCGTCACTTCTCCTCACCAGCAGCACTGAGTGCCAGTGGTTGGGAGGGTCTGGTCAACTCACATGGAGGGACAAGCGGGAACAGTCCCCATGACCCATCGTCCAGGAGCTTACACAAAAGCCATCGCCACAATTCCGGGAACAGTAAGTGGTCTTCTATTTATTGGTTTAGCTTTTTTTCTTTCTTTTTTTCTTTTTTCTTTTTTCTTTTTCATTTTCTTTTTTTTGTTTTTGTTTTTTGTTTTGTTTTTTTCTTTTTCTTTTTTTTTAGGAACAGGAAAATGAATGCAGCTTTTTTTCTTTTTTTCATTCTTTTTTGGTTGTTATTGTTGTTGTTAGACTGTATTAAATGTATAACCTTGTCTGTGATTGTTATAATTGCTTTAACTTTTGGATTTCTCATAGTCTCTATTCAATTTCATTATAAGAATGAGTTCTGTTGTATGCAGTCTTCTCACAGGGGTAAAGTTCCACTAGCTGAGTTGAATTGAATCAAACTGCATAGTAGATGTACGCCAAATGGAATGTCTGTATTTTATTTACAAATATATGAATGGAGATTAATGATGTATGAGACGCAGGTAGGCATGTATTATCCTAGTGCATCTGCTTGGCTTTATTTGTCTCTCTAGTGTTCAGCCATTGTTTAAACTTAAGCTGTGAAATGCATCAGCAGTATATGAGACAATTGGTGACTGAACTGTTGTCAAAATGTTGTCAGGTTGACTAAAATGGTATTTTACTACAAGTTGGAAATGTTCACTGGCAGTAATTTATCTCTAGAACATGACCATAAAGTATTTGATGATTCTGAGATTCCTTATGTTGATGGAAGTTAACCACATAATACCAAGCATTGATTGGTGACGAAAAAGCCTACAAACCATTTGTCTCATATTCTGCTGTGACGTAAAATTCCTTATGTAAATGCTGCATACAAACAAGGCTTATTATCTTGTTGCAGCCATGTTCAATTTGGTAAAATGTTTGTTTTCTTTGTCATTGTTTTGTTAGTTATGAAATTATAAGTAAAAAGGGAAGGTTCATCTCTTTTGATATTGATATGTGTTTTATTCCATGATGAGTGTATTTATTATTTTCTTTTAAAATTTGTAACTTGTAGAATTGGTAAGCCATAAATAATTGTAGATCTCATGCTTAATTGTGAACTTGAATCCTAGATAAATATTCTTTCACCTTTCTTTTTTTACTATCATGTCACCGTCACTACCTCTGCCACCACCAGTGTTGCAGTCACCATCAACATCACTGTTACTGTCATTATCATCATCATCATCATCATCATCATCATCATCATCATCATCATCATCAATTACTATCACCACTACCACCACCACCACCACCACCTCCTACCGACACTATCACCACCACCCACCACCACCCACCACCACTATCACCACCACCACCACCACTCCCACTCTCACTCTCACTCTCACTCTCACTCTCACCACCATCATTATCATTATCATTATCATCACTATCATTATCATCACCATTATCAACATCCCCACCACCACTATCAACATCAATATTATTATTATTATTATTATTATCATTATCATTATCATTATTATTAATTTAAAAAGATCATAAATACAAAGTTAAAAAACCACAAAGTAATCGCCCCTCTCCTCTACCACCCCAGGTCTGTTGCCAGAGGCGACCCTCTGGAACTACATAATCCAACTCACTGGGGCATTGAGGACCATCCACACTCAGGGTCTCGCTTGTCGCACACTAGACCCATCCAAAATTCTCCTTACAGACAACAAGTCAAGAATCAGGGTGAACTGCTGCGGGATTCTTGACGTGTTAAACTTTGATCCGAATGCTGCCAACCCCCTGGCCAACATGCCTCAGTATCAGGTGTTTTTTTCGCGCTCTTCCGTCTTCTTCTGTCTTCCTCTCTCTCTCTCTCTTTCTCTCTCTCTTGTCTATTTTGCTCTCTTTCTTTATTTTGTTTGTTTGTTTGATTTCATTTTTTTTCTTCCCTCCCTCACCCCTCCCTCACCTAAAGAAATGCAATTTTATTTTACTTTTTAAATTTTCTAATACTAAAAAAAGAACCTGGCGATCATTTAGGCATGTTTGGATGTGTACTGCCGCATTGTACTGTGAATAAGTATATATGTATGATTTGTAGATATTAATGAATTAAAGATATTCTTTGTGTTTAATAAAAGTAGATGTTGATTTAAGTGTATTGAGCAGTTGGATAAAGAAAATATTATAAATCCCAGTTATGTGAAGGAAAACTTCATAATTTGGTCAAATAAATTTTCAGTGGGCAGTAGCACTAAATGTATGATTATTATTATTTAATCATTTGTCTTTCATCAGTTTACCCATTTCCCTCTTCATACTTTTTTGTTTGTTTTCCATTTTCTTGAATTTATTTGTGTAGTTATGGCTTTATTTATCTGGTAATAGCATGCCTGTATATTTGATATATGATTTTCAAGGACATTTTAAGCAGTAAGATTAAGTAAAGAAAAATATTCATTCTACAATGCAACCATTAAGCCAATACTAACTGTAAATCTAGCTTTGCAATCTTGATTTATTTTGCTAGTTAAATTTGGCTAGTTTCGAAAGTTGCCAAAAACAAACTGAATACATCAAAGAAAATTTCAATATTTTACATTAAATTTGTGATATTTTTTTCCTCTCTCTCTTTTTTTGTGTGTGTTTACAATGTCTTTTACAGTTAAAGATTGTAGTTTTCAATTTCTGTTTTTTGTTTTTTCTAAAGTTTATACTTATAAGTGTGTTTGTTTGAATGTCTTCCACCAGCAAGAGGATTTAGTGAACCTTGGGAAACTAATGGTGGCTCTGGCATGCAATTCCATTCTGGCTCTGCAGCGAGACAACATCCAGGCAGCTCTGGAACTCATCAACAGATCATACTCACGGGATTTGGCTATGTTGGTAGTTTGTTTGCTCACCTCTCAGCGCATCAAAAGCATTAATGATGTTATGCCAATGATTGGTGCCAGGTAAAAAAATTTGTTTTTACTTGTATGTCTTGAGTGATACGTTTATTTATTGAATTGTGACATTAGTTTTGTGATAGGGAATTTAGTTATGTTGTTGGGATTTATCTTTTTGTTTTCTTCATTGTGTGATTATTTGTGTTTATGATGTATGATATATGGTTAATGTATTTTATTAGATTTTTTTCTTTCTTTATTTTGTTTGTTTGTTTGATTTCATTTGGCCGCATTGTACTGTGAATAAGTATATATGTATGATTTGTAGATATTAATGAATTAAAGATATTCTTTGTGTTTAATAAAAGTAGATGTTGATTTAAGTGTATTGAGCAGTTGGATAAAGAAAATATTATAAATCCCAGTTATGTGAAGGAAAACTTCATAATTTGGTCAAATAAATTTTCAGTGGGCAGTAGCACTAAATGTATGATTATTATTATTTAATCATTTGTCTTTCATCAGTTTACCCATTTCCCTTCTTCATACTTTTTTGTTTGTTTTCCATTTTCTTGAATTTATTTGTGTAGTTATGGCTTTATTTATCTGGTAATAGCATGCCTGTATATTTGATATATGATTTTCAAGGACATTTTAAGCAGTAAGATTAAGTAAAGAAAAATATTCATTCTACAATGCAACCATTAAGCCAATACTAACTGTAAATCTAGCTTTGCAATCTTGATTTATTTTGCTAGTTAAATTTGGCTAGTTTCGAAAGTTGCCAAAAACAAACTGAATACATCAAAGAAAATTTCAATATTTTACATTAAATTTGTGATATTTTTTTTCCTCTCTCTCTTTTTTTGTGTGTGTGTTTTAGCAATGTCTTTATACAGTTAAAGATTGTAGTTTTCAATTTCTGTTTTTTGTTTTTTCTAAAGTTTATACTTATAAGTGTGTTTGTTTGAATGTCTTCCACCAGCAAGAGGATTTAGTGAACCTTGGGAAACTAATGGTGGCTCTGGCATGCAATTCCATTCTGGCTCTGCAGCGAGACAACATCCAGGCAGCTCTGGAACTCATCAACAGATCATACTCACGGGATTTGGCTATGTTGGTAGTTTGTTTGCTCACCTCTCAGCGCATCAAAAGCATTAATGATGTTATGCCAATGATTGGTGCCAGGTAAAAAATGTTGTTTTTACTTGTATGTCTTGAGTGATACGTTTATTTATTGAATTGTGACATTAGTTTTGTGATAGGGAATTTAGTTATGTTGTTGGGATTTATCTTTTTGTTTTGTTCATTGTGTGATTATTTGTGTTTATGATGTATGATATATGGTTAATGTATTTTATTAGATTTTTTCTTTCTTTACTTTTAACCTGCAACTTTTTCAACATAGGTTCTACACTGCTTTAGAGAGTGCCACGCAGAGAGCTGATGTTTATGAGAGTGAGCTGTCCAAAGAAATACACAATGGTAGACTTTTCCGTCTTTTGACAAAGTTGAATACCATTGTTGATCGACCAGAGTAAGTTGCAGATGTTTGTCATGTGATTTCTGCAGAGTTGCAAAATCATGAACATTGTTATTTACATCTGTCACATAGAAGTAAGTGTATATTGTGAATAAAAGCTACATGTTTATGATTGGTTTGTGTGAGTGATATTATTATTGAAACTTGTTCTCATTTGATTTTGCTTTTAGAAATAGAAGCCTTTGTGTTTTTGAGTATGTCAAGTTATTAGGTATTGTTATTAGGTAACTTTTGTATCATGAAGAAATTAAAATTACTATATACTTTATTGATTAATTACATCAGAGGCCTTTCATAATTTCCTTCCATTTTTAAAAGAACTGAAGAAAAAGAAAGAAAAAATTATGATAAGATGACGTTATGTCATATGGACACAGAAAATAATCTACTTCTGTATTTGATCAGACTCAATATGGACACAGCCTGGTGTGAGACAGGAGATAGATATATGCTGAAACTCTTCCGTGATTATGTGTTCCATCAGGTGAGTTTATAACATAGGAGGATGTAGTCTAATTTTGATGCATTGTAAGGATCTTGTGCTCTCTCTCTCTCTCTTTCTTTCTTTCTTTCTTTCTTGTACTTGTTCTCAGTAGACATCCATAATGGAATCACAGTATAAAATTACTCTTAAGTTCAGTAGATGTTATCTGTCACAGAAATGTTTTGGTAATGCAGGTAAGTAAGGTTATAGGAAAATGTGACTTGGCATAAGGCATTGTTGGAATGATTACAAGAATTGTATAGTGCTTTTTAAGCTAGAAAATGGCACATGTGTAGTTTGTGAGATTTAGAATGTTTTTGAAATTGGGGAAGAATGGATATGTGTTGAATTTGCTCAAGCCAATCTTATATGGTAATGAATATGCTTATTTCTTAAAGTTTGATTATGTGTTCTCCAATAAAGATTTTGCTCTGTTAACCCACTGGATTCGGATGCTTCACTTCCATCACGAGGCCCAAAATACAGACATTAGGCTTACATAAGCAGACACTATGACAGGTGTGGCTTGTTGGCTCCATGTCTCCCCTTAGCAATGTTAGTTTTTCTTTTTCTGCATAAGCATTTTTAGCTTTTTTTGCCATTTTCTAATGTCTATATTTGTCATTTATCCAGATAATAGACAGTTTTCCTTGCACAAACTCCATATCATTTCTCCATAAATCAGTGCAATAATAATAATAAGTGACATCTTGTTATTTGTCTTTTTCTCTCCATAATATTTTTTTTCTGTAATACAACCTGCCAGTCTTACTGAGTATGGAAGCATCACCCTCCCTAGAGCCAGCACTTTTCCAGTCATGGCTCACAGACAGTACATTCCACACTCATTTATTGATGGAAATAATGCAAAAGCCCCCTCCTAAATATCAAAGGAATCTAATCACTCTCCAAGAGGTTTGTGCCCTCATGTTGAGCCATTCCTGTCACCCTGGCCTTCAGCTGGAATGCTCGTGACGGCAAGTTCAGGTCAGGTCACCCTAGCACACAGCCAAATTTTCCCAAGATGACATGTTCACATCACCTACCCTTTAAACCAAATTTTTTCATGGCGTGATGTCATCCGGATTATAAGGGTTAAGTGTGCACACTCACCAATGCTTCATCAGTAGTTATATTTAATGTGTTTTTTGTAACTAACAAAATGTGTGTTTTTTTGGGAAGTTTGCTAAGTATATTCTCAATATGAAATCAGTATATATCATAGCTTAATATTTCCTTATTCAGTAATTGTCACAGGAGCTGAGATGGAACAGATCATATGTTTATATACAAACTAGCAATTTGATTTCTGGAAACTAATTATTTTTTTAAAATGTATGTTTGACATATTATTGAGACAACATATAACATATCATAATTTTGGAATTAGTTTATTAAGAAGAAAATATCTTTATTTGTTCAAATTAATGTATTCCTCATTTATCATTCAATATAAGATATGTAATTTTTCATGGATATTGTATTTTCTTCATTATAAAAGATTTGGTTCTTTTGTAGTCTAGTTCAGTCTTTAGTTTTCATGGATATCAAATTAGAAGGTGAAGTGAGTTCATTGTCACAATTTTTAGATAAGTGTTTCTTAGTATATAAAACCAGAGAAAGTTTGTTGACATACAGGCAAAGTAAGGATGGCAAAAAAAATGAAAAGAGCACTTGTGATGTATCTTAGCCATTGCTCTCCTCACTCAGAAGTCTTATCTTGATCCTAACTCACAGGTAACTGATGATGGAAGACCGTGGTTGGACTTGGGACACGTGGTGACTGTTCTGAATAAGTTAGATGCAGGGTCTCCTGATAAGGTGAGTTTTCTTATTTTTGTTCACGTTATGTTATTTTTTATTGTTTTATTCTAGACTTTTTTCACATTAGGCTAGATGTGATACTGTAATTTTTTTTTTTTTTTTTTTTTTTTTTTTTTTTTTTTTTTTTTTTTTTTTTTTTTTTACCATTTTCTTTGTCATTACTGCCTTTGTTGTCATTGCAGTGGTCATCATCCTTGTCAGTAATAACATTATTTTGATTTATTATTGTTGTCTTGTATTTATGTAAAGGTTTTTGTTGCAATGCTATTTTGATTGTTCTTGATGAGACAAATTACATTTGAAAAAGGTAAGCAAAAGGCCAATTGCACATAGCTGTTCATTATACCAGAAGTCGAATACAGTACTAATCCATTTTTGTCCCAAAATAGGTTAATTCATGACAGGAAAAATAGAGTTGATTCGTGAAGTCTGATTGTCGCTCTCTGTCAGGATCAGTAATGATGATAGTGTAGTTTAATGCTTGTACTTTAATAAACTGGGCTAAAGTATTGCACCTGTGGGGACTTAGTTTCTGCACAGGCTTATGCCCTTCCTGCATCAGCTACGGGATGTTAGGATGTGAATATTTATGTCTTCTACATGGGAGGTTTGGATGGACCTACTAAAGCATTGTTGAAACAAATTTGTTTATTTTGTGTGATTCATATGTTGAGATTTCTTTTGCTAGTAGCTTCTTAACATTAATCATTTTGCTCTGGATGGTTTAAAAGAGACATTGCTCATGTAAGGGGCACTTTTCTGTGAGTTGTAACTTTGAATGTGTCATCCTGAAAATCTCTTATCTAATACAGTTTCTCTCTCTCTCCCTCTCTCTCTCTCTCTCTCTCTCTCTCTCTCTCTCTCTCTCTCTCTCTCTCTCTCTCTCTCTCTCTCTCTCTCTCTCTCTCTCTCTCTCTCTCTTTCTCTCTTTCTTTCTCTCTCTCTCTCTTTCTTTCTCTCTCTTTATTTTTCCATTTGTTTTGCTGCATCAAATGATTATATACTATTTTCCTTGAGCACACTCCGGCCTTCAGTCAAATTTTTCCACGATGGCGTATTTCTGTCACTGATACCAGGCCTCTTCTTCTTCTTCTTCTTCATTAATTTTCTCTCTGTCTTTCTTTATTTCTTTCTTTCTTTTTTTTTCCTGATGTTATGTCACCTAGATCCAGTGGGTTAACATGAGGATGTTTGATTTACAAGAATTGCAGATACAGATGTAGATGTTATTTGCATAGCAATTGTAGCTATGGATTTTGTAAATATATGAATGATTTAGTAGTAGAAGATACATTTATTTGCTGCATTGTTAATAGGCATATATGTGGTGGATTAAAATTGAACTTAGAACAGCACGATCATATGTGAAGTGTCAAAATCAAAGAAGCTGTGATATCAGTCTTATGCTGATGATGCAATACATCAAGATGTATATATTATGTTATCCTAAGCATGACTTGTAGAGCTGGAATAATCTTGCTGAATAATTGCACTGAAGGAAAATTTGTGTTTTATTTTGAATTGAATTTTTTCACTCTTTTCCTCTGTCCATGAAAACATTTAAACTTCAGTAGGGTGGAGCTTTCAGGGATAGCCAGAAGAAATTTTTCACATATTTTTAGTTTTCCCTTGTTGTAGGATGTGCTATGCAGCTGCTTTGGTTACATGAAGTTAATTTAGCTCATATACTGGATTAGGCAACCATCTCTGATAGCTATAACCTTCCTTAATCATAAACGCTAGGCCACCACCTACCCCAGATTGTAAATTAGCCTAATCCAGCATAGGCAAACCTAACCTTATTCAGTTATAGTGAGGGAAAACCAAACAAAATTGTTCTATCCCACAGCAATTAAAGCAGCCACGTTTACAAAGGGTGTGCTTATTTACCATGACACGTGTTGTGGATATCTGTACTTCAGTTTGTTGAATGAAATGTTAATAGAGTTCCATTAGATGTAACAATGGTGATATACTGTCTTCTTGATATATGCAACTTGTGAATGTAGAGGATGTGATTCTTAATGCTTTCCAATTTTTGACAGATTTGTTTGATGTCTCATGATGAGCAAAACATCCTGGTGACCTCCTATGCAGAATTAAAAAGGTGCTTCGAACGCTCCTTTGCTGAGCTGCTGCAGGCAGCATCTTCACATAAGGCAACATAACCCTATACAAAGGGGTGGTTGACTTCTTGACCCTCCAATAAGCAATGGGAAACAATCATCTCAAAGCCACTTATTTTATCTGATGGAATTTACTCATTTTTTGATGCATCGGAGGGGTTGGGAAAAGGGATGAAGATGAAGGTACAGTAGTGGTAATGGTCCATGTATTAAACTTACCTTTTTTATTTTTTATTCTCAATTTTTTTTAATCCATATAAAATAAAAGACAAGTTTATTTTGCTACTAAATAACCATTGGTGAAGACTGTTTGTAACTTGAATCAGTGAAAGTTTTGTGTCATTGATTGAAGAGCAGTGAGGTTTCTTCTCTGTAGAATTGTATTAGGACTTGGTTTTTGGCTGGTCTGAGCTGGGAAGATGAAGGTTTCAGTGAGGATTGTACACGGGAAGACAAACAGAATGGACGTTAATGCTCTCGCAGTTATTAATATTATTTATTAATTATTTATTACTTCATAGCCAGTATGCAACAACAGTCATAGGTAAAAGATAATTTTTTGGCATTATATACATCTTACTCAGTTGTTTTTCAAATAATTAGTCTTGGATTCAAGGGCAAGTTATGAATAATGCTGATTTGCAGTTAAGGCTAATTCTATCAGCCAGACTTAGTGATTGTGTGTATATAAGTTCGAAAGTAGTGAACTGGATATCTTGTGTATGAGTATTGTATCAATTACAAGTATTGCTGCTGTCTAGGGTGTAATACATCAATCAGTAGTAGAAAGATAGGCCTCTTGTGTACATTGAACTAAGCAATAGATTACTTCCAGCACTTGTGGAGAGAGGACTTAGGAAGCTGTTTTCCAGAAGGATATTTCAGAGATAAACACATTTTTAGGATAGGGGTAATGTTAAAGCTGTATGTGTAGGGAAAAATGTAATGCAAAAAGGCAAAAAAAAAAAAAAAAAAAAAAAAAAAAAAAATCTAATGCATTCACATGTTTTTCATGAACACAAAATGTGTTCATTTATTATTTATCAGTCAGCTTGCTTTACAAACGTGAAATTTTTAAAAGGAAATTGAGAGCTCATTTGAAATACATGTTACATAGCCATTGATGGGGCTACTACTGGGTGTATAAGCATTCTGTGATAAGTGGATTTGAATTGACTCACATATTCTGGGAAGAATTAGTCTTGTAAAATTGAGAAGACAGAAATCTGAAATGTGTATGCATAATCCATGAGTAACACCAGAATATGTACATATGCACTTCATGATGTTCATATGGCAACACAAAGAAGTGCATACATGGTAACACAGCATATATGTTACACGTATATTTTCACCTACACTTACACCTACACTTACACTGACAACTAAATTAGTTATTCCTTATCAAAACCAGTACATGAGCATATGCATATCATACATACTTTAAAAAAAAGGAAGAACAGATTCATGTGCACACATTTAGTAAAGTGAAATTTACACATGTTTACACTTGAAATAATTCAAGTAAAGAGATTCATAATGTGCTTCATATATTTACTTTCCACTTGTTTTTTTTTTT